TGCATTCTTTTGCAATGTGGGCAGTCTTGACAGCAAACATAAGGATGGATTCAGGCATCGGGTACAGTGTTAACAACACCAAAAAAACAAAATTGCAAAAAAAGTATTACTATTTTCAACTCTTTGTCCACCCTCTCAAATCACCAAAAACTACCTATCATGAAGAAGAAACCATCTCTCAAAATCTATGTAATTTGCTTTGCTGAACTTGGCTGTAGCCCACGCTCGCTAGTACATGTCATGAAAACGTGAATAATGTCCATCGATCAAACCCCATAAATTCCTAGTCATTAACCAAGACCCTCTCATTTCCAGGTTGATTAGAGCAGAGCAGCCGCAACAGCGATGACAGCCAAAGCTCCACCTGCCTTCTGCATATGCGCAGCTCCGGCGGTAACTGGGGTGCCAGTCGTGGTGGTGATTGGAGGGGGGATGATGGTTCCAATAGTGGTAGGAGGAGGAGGAGCCGGAGTGGTGACCGGGGGAGGAGGAGGGGGAGGAGCTGGGGTCTCGGTCACCGGAGGAGGAGGCGGCGGGGGAGGAGCCGGGGTCTCGCTGACCGGAGGGGGAGGAGGAGGAGGGGGAGGAGGGGGAGGGGCATATGTCGGCGTGGTGGCCGTGACAGTCGACGGGGGAGGCGGGGGAGGAGGAGGCACCACGGTCGTAGGAGGAGGGGGAGGAGGAGCCTCAGTCTCCGTCACGGGGCAGATAGTTGTGCTGACGGGGATGGTAACAGTCGTGAGAACTGTGGAGTGAGCCGGGCAGTCGGGGTTGACTGGTGGGCAGGATGTGATGGTGCGAGTCGTGGTAGCCCAGACGGTGCTGGTAGTCCACTTGCCCACAAACGGGTTATCGGTGGGGCCGCCGAGCGTGAAGGAGGGCTTCTCGTCGTGGTATTCATCTCCATGGGCTGCCGCATGGGCAGCCAGAGTGATAAGGGTGGCTAGTGTGGTCCTCATTGTGGTGATAGATACCTCTGTTGAAGAACGAGAGACAAGAACGAGTGAATGGTACCGTAGGCACTGAAGGTAGGAACAGGGAAATCAGAAAGACAAACTCAGAAGAGGGGGTGCCCCCTCAAATACTCATGCGAGGGGACTCCTGATGGGGTGATAGGGGGCTGGGGGGGAATCGGCGTCCACAGCACGGCAGACAGCAGCAGCAAGCAACAAGGAGCGATGATCGGGACCGTCCGCCCATCACCAAGTTTGTCCAATCCAAAAGCGCGGATCTCTCAGGGGGGGAAGCAAGTTTTGCACGACTTGCTGTGTAGTGTAGTGTACATCATGTATGCCACCTGTGTGGTGAGATAGACATGGTCAACAAGGTACCCTCGTATGTGGGAGTGAACTGCTTGGCGGCTAAAGAATGGGAGGTGTGCCTGGCAATCAACTTCCATATTAAGCTGATCCATGGCCAACAGACAAGAAAAACGGACTGCATGACGGAGAGACATGCAGAGTAGCCTATCCTGGAGAGGGGAAGACAAGCCCGCAGACGCAACTGTATGGGGTGATGGGATGGATAGAGCTCGGTACCCCTGAGTGGCGTCTTTGGGCCCTTGCGTCAACTGGTGGGCAGAAGTGCGTGGGTGCCAGACGACAAGGCCGTACATAGAGGGCCTCCCTTTTAGACGATGTCACCACCCATCGCCCAGTAGACGATCGGTGCCTGCATTGGTTGCCCTGGGGCGGTGTTTGGTGGAGGGCACAGCAGTGTGCCCCTGCATTTGAGCACAAGCTCACGGCGCTGGTTTGAGCTGAGCTTGTTTTTCTTCTTTGCCCCTCGGGAACAATTGCCCTGGCTTCCCATGTCGGAGGTTGACACAACGACATCGGTGGTGGCCTGAGGGCAGAGACATTGGTATCAGCACGGCCGGCCGGGTTGATCACGACACAGCGCCGTGTAAGTGGCCTGCTTGAGTCCGTCTTCAACCTCCCAAGAATCTGGGGGATGTGGTTCACTGCAGTCGGCAGTGCTGCACAGTCGTAGTTGGGACGGCATCCGGTTCAGGAGCGGGGAACCTGCCAGACAATCATGCACCAGATTCGTCAGCCAAGGGAAACACACCGACTGCGGGCACATCAACACCCCAAGAGGAAGGAGGGGAAACGATGGGACAAAGTGTGATCAGGCACAGTCGACCATTCGTTGGCTGGCAACGGTGGGCTGTAAAACATGCTATTCTTCTCATCTTATAAGAGGCGAGCTGATTCTTCATCGATTCTTTACTATCATGATGGGAATGACGAGGCTATTGGACGACATGCGCTTACCATTTGGTCGATCGAAGACATCCGGGTAGCACGACCACGAGGGCCACCAGTTCGACGGCCAGGTGACACAGCGGAAGCCTAAGAACACCTCTGTGGAACAAGTGAAGCCCCATTGAGAGCCTTCTTGGGGGTCGTCCCGGGCATATCCTTGAGATCAGACGTTGGACATTGAAAGTTACTGACTGATAAAAGATAAGATCGAGAAGGGAAGAAGTTGTTGTTAGTGGGGGAGTTGGACTGGGGATCCCAGCTCGCTTGGCACTCTTCCTTCTGGCGGGGCGGCGGGGCCACCCTGCTGAAGATCACTGTGGCTGAAGTCTCAAAAGGGGCAACGGGACTCTGTGGCTGATGCTCCGCGACAATTTGGGCGTCGCGCGCCCGGACGTCACGGCGGGCCCGGAGCTTGACAATTGTGGACAGACAATCCAACAGTGGGCAGACAGCTTGATGCTGCGACAAATCGGCCACATTTTGGTTTCCATGTTGCCAGATCTGTTAATTTGATGTGCCCGGGTTTCCGGTAACTTAGAACCTTCTATTGCTCTTCCATACTATCTTTAACTGTGCAGGACGCGATTGTACGATTACACGGACCTGCTTAGGTATTCATTCACTCCCTACATCACCAACCGCTCTCATCACTTGCGCCTCGCCAAGTTGCGATACCAACCAACATTTGTACAAAACCACAGTAAAACGCCTACCCCGCAGGTTCAGGGAGGGACATGGCACCAGCCGTAGATGCCGCAACCCGGAAAAGGGTCTTGAGGGTTATCTTTGTTTCCCTGCTGTTAGACTTGGTAAGCATTGTCTTGGGGCTTGGGGTGCGTGGCACTGTACAATAAATATACTGACAACTCTACTTGCCGGCAGCTCTCATTTACCTTCATCCTGCCCCTGTTCCCGAAACTGCTCGAGTTCTACCGCAACGCTGAGGCCCCGCTCGATGCTTCCGCCCCAGCATCCAAGACTCTGCTTTCCAGTCTGCTGGGCTACCTCAATGCGTACAAGGCCGCCTTTGCACGACCCATTGAGTCCCGATATGATATTGTCCTGCTAGGCGGAGCTCTGGGGAGCTTGTTCTCGTATGTAACCCCTTTTTGCTGGCTTTGAGTTCTCCTGTGTTGACTTTGTATACCCCTCAGTCTTCTCCAGGCTTTTGCCTCTCCAATCATCGGCCACCTATCTGATCGCCATGGCCGGCGCACCGCTCTTCTTGCCAGCATGACGGGCAACATTTTGTCTGTACTTCTCTGGGTTGCTGCCGTCGACTTCCGAACCTTCCTTGCCTCACGTGTTGTGGGAGGTCTCTCTGAAGGCAATATCCAGATAGCCACCGCCATTGCGACCGACATCTCCGACGACACCTCCCGCGGCTCCACCATGGCCCTCATCGGCGCATGCTTCTCCATTGCCTTTACCTTCGGTCCAGCTTTGGGTGCCTACCTCTCCTCGATTCCCACCGTGGCAGCCAACCCTTTTGCCACCGCTGCCTCGTTCTCGCTTTTCCTCATTGTCACTGAGACCGTTTACCTCTGGTTTTCTCTTCCAGAGACCCTCCCCAAGTTGACGGGCACAGACAAGAAGAGCACCAAGTCGGAAACTAAGCCGATCCAGAGAACCAACTCTCACTTTCTCCTCAACTTGATCCACTTCACCTTCCTGCTGTTCTTCTCTGGTATGGAATTCTCGCTACCCTTTATGACGTATGATTTGTTTGGCTATTCCTCGGCCAGTAACGGCCGCCTCCTCGGCTATGTTGGTCTTGTTGCATCTCTCCTCCAGGGTGGTGTCACTCGCCGTCTTCCGCCACTACTCTCAGTAAAAACTGGTGTCTTGGCTTGCCTCGCTGCCTTTGCCATGCTTGGCCGCATCACCACTGTCGGTGGACTGTACCTAGCTGCGACATGTTTGGCTACCACTTCGGCTACTGTTGTCTCTGGTTTGAACGCCCTGAGCAGCTTCGAGGCGAGCGAGGACGAACGTGGCAGGAAGCTTGGTGTTATGAGAAGCTGGGGACAGCTCGGCAGGGGTTTGGGACCGGTGCTCTTTACCAGCGTGTACTGGTGGGCCGGGAGAGGCACCGCTTACACCATTGGTGCGACTGGCATCGCGGTGGTGAGTGCCCTAGTGTTGTTCGGATTGAAGACGCCACCAGGGTCGATCAAGGCTAAGGCCAAGGCTGTGTCGAAGGTTGAGAAGAATGAGCTTTAGTTGGTTGACGGGAAGAGGTGAGGCTTTGTTGTATCTATTCCCATATGCACATGTTGTCCATACACATCTTGTATGATATTTGGATTGTACTTGTACACGAAAAAAGAACATACGGGGTTTCGACTTGGAACAGGAGTTTTTACAGTTGAGAACACCTAATCTGCTGATCCCCTTTGGTGTGAAAAGGATTGGCTTCTGCCATGTACGCCCCTATCCATTCCCGAGGACACATTTGAACACGAGTAAGCCTCCTAACGCCTCAGTACCCATCTTCAAAGATGGACATGGCGGCGCCCACATACCTACCTTCCAAAGGCACTCTCCCCCGTCCCCAACCCAGCCCGCCGTGCCTTCCATCCGGCCACCTACAACTCCTGCCGTTCCCGCTAGGTAAGCAAGGTGCCACTTTACATACACTCAACAGGGTCTTTAAGCTCTGGCACCTGCCACCAAAGCAACAGCAAAGAGAACCACTTGCTTGACCTTTCATGGCCAAGCGGTCTGCGTGCAGCCCTCGTAGAGAAATGGTAACTCGTCAGCCTCCTAAGCTGAAGATTGCGGGTACGTCAACGTTCAATTCTGGTTGTAGCCGCAATAAAAATACTAATGATTGATAAATAGGTTCGAGTCCCGTCGGGGGCGGGGGTGTTCTTCTTCATTTTTTGATGGCCACCCTCATTGTTTTTTAACCGTTCCTTTTTACGTGTTCTCGAGTCTAAAGTCCGTTGAAGAAGATGGTACTCACGTGAGTCCAACAAAGCTTACATAATGCATTCTCCAACCACAATATCACAAAGCTAAGTAGAACCCAATGCCCATCACTAGCTCGATTGGGAACAGATACCGAATTGGCATACATCTTGTGACAATTGATGGGATGTCGACGACGAGGCTCATGTATCTATCACATATTCTTTCGCTTCTTTCTTTGCAGCCATGACATGACGACATTGCCGACTTTACGAGATCCCCCATTTGATGCTTCAACCACGCTTTTGCTGATGCATGAGATGGACCACGAGTGGTGATCCACTCATCACGGGAGGATATCGGCGAATACGCCGGGCAGAGTCGGCCCCCACGGAGAAGCGTATCACCGCAGTCTTCATCCTCGGAATCACATCTTGATCCGATTGATGAGTGATTCCGGATCACTGCGGGGCGCTTACACACCTCGACAGTCACCGCATACCGCAAACCCGAGAATTGACATTTTGGAAGGGATAGTTCGGGCATAAAGGTTAGTCGTGGGCCCCTTGGTAAGACGTCAAGATCACAGAGCACACAACATCTCACACCTTTCTAGGTGGCAGCTTCTTCCACATCATGAATTATGAGCCACCTTCTGCTCCAACTTACAGCCTTTCTATGGCTCTTTCGGTCTCCTGCTTGGGCACTCAACAATGCATTTGATGTCCGAGAGGCCAGTATCGATAGCGTACACGACGCCTTGTTCACCCGAATCACCACCTGCAGAGACATCGTCTCGGCGTTCATCGCCCGTATCGAGGAGTTCAACCCGACTGTCAATGCTATCATCTCACTGAACCCGGAGGTCTTGTCCATCGCGGACAAGTTGGACGAGCGGATCGCCGCCGGTAATACCACAGGCTCGCTGTTTTGCATCCCAGTGGTGCTCAAGGATAACTATGATGCTGTTGGGACCAACACAACGGGGGCTTGTCTCGACCTTGCCAACAGCAAGCCACTTGAAGATGCCCCAACCGTTGCAGCTATGAGGAACGCCGGTGCGGTTATTCTCGGCAAGGCAAACCTGCACGAAATGGCTCTCGAGGGCTTGACTGTCTCGTCTCTGGGCGGTCAGACTGTCAACCCTTACGACACGACTCGGACTCCAGGAGGGAGCAGTGGAGGGACTGGGGCAGCGGTGGCCTCGAACTTTGCCATCTTTGGAACTGGAACTGACACCGTCAACTCCCTGAGAAGTCCTGCCAACGCGGGCTCGTTGTTCAGTTTTCGTCCTACCAGGGGGCTGATTACCCGTGCCGGAGTGATCCCTGTCGGCTTCACGCAGGACACTGTTGGCGCCATTGCTCGAAATCCAAAAGACCTGGCTGTTGCGTTGACGGTTATGGCAAGCGTGGGATTTGACCCTAATGATAATGTCACAGCTCTGATTCCGCCGGAGATCAAGGGCAAGGACTACTCGGCCTCATTGTACGGTGGTAGTCTGAAGGGGCGACGGTTCGGCTTTGTAGATGGCTTCCTGAACCACACAGCCTCTCCTGAAACGACTCCGGTCACCGACGTCATGACCGACATGGTACAAAAGCTTCGAGGGGCTGGCGCTACAGTGGTCAACATCACCGAACCCATCTACAACACCGCCGCCCTTGCAACTCTCGATGTCCAAATCTACGAGTTCGGGGAGCTTCTCGACGCCTACCTCGCCCGGCCACAATTAGGTGGCTCCCCTCGCCCAGACAGCTTCGCCGAACTATACAACAGTGGCAAGTTCCTCGTCATTCCAGGGCAGTCAGGCATGATCCGATCCTCCTTTGTCTCCTCCACCGCCAACACGACCTACCTCGAGTCCCTCCGTAAAATCCAAAACCTCACCCAAGCCCTCGACGCAACGTTTGTCAAGAACAATCTCGACGCACTCATCTACCCCCAGCAAAAGAACCTCGTCGTCAAGATCGGATCGCCGTCACAAAGCGGGAGAAACGGGATACTGGCCGCTCTGACCGGGCGGCCAGTGGTTCACGTACCAGCTGGCTTCTCGCCGCCGTCAGAAGACGCACCGATTGGTGTACCGATTGGTATGGAGATCTTGGGTCGGCCGTTCACTGAGGGGCTTTTGTTGAATATTGCGAATCATATTGCCGAGCAGTTTCCTGTCAGGAGGATGCCGCCTTTTGCTAATGGTTCTGTCGAGGCGAGGGTATATGAGAGTGTGCCGGTTATCAAGCCGAATACGGGGAATATTCCGGGGGTCTATCCTATTGGGGTGTTTTAAGGGAGTCTAGAGCTGCATGTTGGTGTCAAGCGTGCACGTTGTTTGTATGGAAATTTTATTACTCGAACGAAAAATGCAACGACCTTTTCCATACCTATGGAGAGCAACTGGGAGAACTACAAACATGTGACTGGATGGGCCAGTGCAGGTGGGGAGTCGCTGCCGGGGATATAAGGGTCGAGTTCGAGATCAACTTTCACGAGGGGGGGCCCTCGAGGGTGCTGTAGTTCAGTGGTATGAGGGGACGCCCTACATACTTCTGGCCTCTCACCCGGAGAGATTACGCTAGGCGGCTAGGTTGGACGAACCCTCGGGTTCGAGTTCCAACTGGGTCGCAGCGAACTCTTTTGCTTTTTTTCTTTTTTTTTTAAACACACTTTTCCACCCTTTTCCCCCCTTTCTCTCGTACATGCAAAGGCAAAACCAGTAGTCAAAGGAACTATCAGAATGTCATAACCCATTGACTAACGATGGATGATTACTAGAAACAAATATTTCTCGACTTTTCTTGCGAAAACCTTTTCGATCTCCTTCGACCCTTGACTGTCGACTCTCCAAATCAACTCCTCCTCTCACCACCCCTCACCCCCCCCTCCAACCTCACCGGGTGGCTCCTCAAAGGATCCGGGTGATTTCCCAGAGGATGCTGTGCATAGTAAAACTCCTCCAGCCCCGCCTCCCTCACCCAGCCCGGCAGCGGCCGCTCAGGATCTACCCAAGATTTCCTCTTCTTCAACCTCTCCCCTCCGTCTCCCAGCTCCTCATCCCGTATCTTGTGCGACCACAGATCCCCCTCGTCAGGAAACCTCCCCCGATCATAACTCTGATAGTCAAACTTTCTCCCACTGCTATCCTCGCTGTGCCCGCCCTCCCGCCGCCTGACCGACCCCTCCGCGAACCCAAGATACACCTCCCGTCCCCCACCGCAGCGTTGAAGGCAGTTCATCAACGCCCTCACCCCCGTCGCTCTCAGGAGGGAATCCCACAAAACAAGCCGCATGCTATTTTGATTCCTGTTGCTCTTTTCCACTGGTTTTTTTTTTTGTGTATCAGCGTCTGTCTAAGGAGGTGGTGACATGTTGCTGGTACTGTACATACCTCTCCTCTTCCTATCAACCAGCATGATGAACCCCCCCACCCAGAGGACAACCACCGCAACGGCGATGAGCGCAAAGACATCGGCCGCGCTGATCGGGCGTGGCTCTGGGACAGGGACGTGGATGTACACTGTTGGGTTTGGGCTCGGGGTGGGAATACTGCTGGTGGCTATCTCTGAGGCTGTAGCAGGAGGAGGAGGAGGAGGGGTATCAGGGGCGAGGTATGCAAAGGGGAGGGAGGCAGGGCCAGAGCTGTCATTGCTGTTGGGGTTACTGTTACTGTTGGGGCTTTTGTCACCGCTAGGGCTGGAGTTGTCGTTTGGGGGGTCATTGCCGGCGGTGTCACCCTTTGGAACCGCAGCAGCAGGCAGATTCCCGGGGGAAACGAAGCCCTTCCCTGGATTTACTCTCCCTGCTGGGCTGTACCCGGGACAGCCGTCATGAGGGCTCTCTCTGCAGCTGACCTCGCCGTCTGGGTCGTTGTTGGTTGTTTTCCAGGTGCCGGTGTCGCCTACTCCGAGACCCCAGCGGGGGGAGCGCCGATGGGCAGGTTTGTGTTTTGCGATGCGTGCTGGCAGTGGTGTTGTACGTGGAGGGTGGCGGTAGACTGGAATGAGATAGTCTCTTGTTGTTTCTGGGTCTGGGGGGGAGCGACGAGGTTTGTTACGGGGTGAGTCGACGGCGTTGCCAACAATAACGGGCATGATGGTGACAATGAAAACAAACGGTGACGAAATATGTCAGAGAGTCTCAAGGAGAATTTTTTTGCGGGCAGAACGTGATATGGATAGATAGGTTCAAGATATATATATTTCTATATACACCACACACCCAAAAACAGCCGCAATGTGTCAAATGATAGGCAGGCCGCTCAAACTGCCAAACAGACCATCCAATATGTTTGACACTGACCACAGCCGCCAAAACACATGTCCACGTTGCGGTTTCACTTGTGAACACCCACCAGACACAAAAAATGGTGCCTCACATATTGGACGATAACACCAAGCCCTTCTTCTTCGGTTACGTCCAGTATAAAGAAGTCAGGTGTCCCACCAGGCTTACTTACAGCTACGGCCTTGATCATGATGCGCGCGAGGTCATTGTTGCTGATAATTAAAACCCAGCGGTGATAGACAATAGAGACATGGCGGAGAAAACCAATGACTCATAGACGCGATGAGATGTGGTGATACCTTCAGTCCAATGTTGACCCAATAAGTCTTGGCATTCAGGGGTCACTGACCTTACGGGTTCATGGGCTCGTACCTTGATGAGCAACTTCACACATCACGTTAAAACTCAAAACTCAAAACTCATTACGCTCAACGCTACCTAGCCATACAAACATCCAATCAAGTAAACCCAAATGCAACCGCTTTCAACCCCTAAAGAAACCTCGCCAGTTTTCCAAGCCCAGTCTCTTGCTTAGGTAGCACCGCTACCTCCTCATACTCCACCTCCTCCTCTCCGTCTTCCTCCTCCTCTTCCTTCTCCTCCTCCTTCTTCACGCCAAA